TCGTGTTCGGCTGTTGTTTATTGCTGCCTTCTTGTTCTTCCTTTCTGGACAAGATCAAAGAAAGGAAGAACAAGAAGGCAGCAATTAACAACAGCCGAACACGAGCAGAGAAAGTCCAAGCACAAGCTGAATACATAGAAGCAAACAAACAAGTGAAGAGGAGCATTAGAGCCGACAAGAAGAAATACGTGGAAGAACTAGCAACGACGGCAGAAAAAGCTGCTAGAGAAGGAAATATGAAACAGCTTTATGATACAACAAAGAAATTAGCAGGGAAATACAGTAAACCAGAGAGGCCGGTCAAAGACAAAGAAGGCAAGCCAATCACCGAAATTCAACAACAGCGTAACAGATGGGTAGAATACTTCGAGGAACTCCTGAATAGGCCGGCTCCAATGAATCCACCGGACATCGAAGCAGCACACATAGATCTTCCTATAGATGTCAATCCACCAACTACGGAAGAAATTAGAATGGCCGTCAGACAAATCAAGAACCGGAAAGCAGCAGGACCCGACAACATACCAGCTGAAGCACTGAAATCAGACATCGAAACAACCACAAGCATGCTTTATCTTCTATTCAAAAAGATTTGGGAGGAGGAACAAGTGCCGATGGACTGTAAAGAAGGACACCTCGTCAAGATTCCAAAGAAAGGAGATCTGAGCAAATGTGAAAACTACAGAGGCATTACACTACTGTCAATACCAGGGAAGGTCTTCAACAGAGTGTTGCTGAACCGGATGAAAGATGCAGTAGACGCCCAACTTCGAGATCAACAAGCTGGATTCCGTAAGGATCGGTCGTGCACAGACCAAATCGCAACACTACAGATCATCGTCGAACAATCAGTTGAGTGGAACTCGTCACTATACATCAACTTCATTGATTATGAAAAGGCATTCGACAGTGTAGATGGGAGGACATTATGGAAACTTCTTCGACACTACGGAGTTCCTGAGAAGATTGTCAATATTATCCGGAACTCATACGACGGACTACAATGCAAAGTCGTGCATGGAGGACAGCTGACAGAAGCATTCAAAGTAAGGACCGGAGTCAGACAAGGCTGTCTACTTTCTCCCTTCCTTTTTCTCCTGGTGGTCGACTGGATGATGAGGACCTCGACATCTGAAGGAAAACACGGAATACAATGGACAGCTCAGAATCAATTAGACGATTTAAACTTCGCAGATGACCTAGCCCTCCTATCACGTCACACGAACAGATGCAGATAAAGACAACCAGTGTAGCAGCAGTCTCTGCATCAGTAGGCCTCAGCATACACAAAGGGAAAACCAAGGTCCTCAAATTCAAAGCAGAGAACAGCAATCCAATCACTCTTGATGGCGAAACTCTGGAAGATGAAGAGTCCTTCACATACCTGGGAAGCATCATCGATGAACAAGGAGGCTCAGATGCAGACGTAAAGGCGAGGATTGGCAAAGCAAGGGTCGCATTCATACAATTGAAGAACATATGGAACTCAAAACAACTTTCAACCAATATCAAAGTCAGAATCTTCAATACGAACATCAAGGCAGTTCTACTGTATGGAGCTGAAACTTGGAGAACTACAACAACCACAATCAAGAAAGTACAAGTATTTATAAATAGCTGTCTTCGCAAGATACTCAACATCCATTGGCCGGATACCATCAGCAACAGCCTTCTGTGGGAGAGAACAAACCAACTTCCAGCTGAAGAAATTAGGAAAAGACGATGTTAATGGATAGGACATACATTACGCAAATCGTCGAACTGCATCACGAGGCAAGCCCTAACTTGGAATCCTGAAGGGAAGCGAAAAAGAGGAAGGCCAAAGAACACATTGCGTCGGATAATAGAAGCAGATATGAAAACGATGAATTACAACTGGACGGAGCTAGAAAGGATTGCCCAGGACAGGGTTGGATGGAGAATGCTGGTGAGCGGCCTATGCTCCTTCATGAGGAGTAACGGGCATAAGTAAGTACTCATATTCAAGAATATATTTGTATTTAAACACAGTAGGCGAAAAGATGAAAAACCAATACGTGGTTTACACATCATCTAAATAAATTTTAAATTTAAAAACAACCTTGTTAAACTAGAACAGTTCTGATATAACTGATAAAATTCTAACACAAAAAGTAGCTTCGATTGATTCCAAAAAATGTAATTGAAGTTTGAGTAATTTCACCTAGTAAGCAAAGAATTAGTTGTACGAAGTAGTCAGAATCTCCGCTATACTATATGGAACAATCAGCAAAGATGAGGCTACCATAATATATATATATATATATATATACTTTTATTTAAACTAACTTTTCGCAACAAACTGAATTATGGCTGAAAAGATCGTTGACACTAAGTATTTTTAACATGTTTGTATTATATGTATGATTATCTTTATTTTAAAGTCATATAAAAGCACATATCAAACAATGTTTGTTTATATGTTGTGTACGCTTTTTCCTAAGTTAAACAAAGCTCACTCTGAAAACCAGTTTTATTTACCCATTTTTGAATAAGATGACGCACCACTGAATTACAATTTGTCGCTTTGTAATAGTCGTGTCAAATTCGTTCTTGTATTATTAACATCTCACGAATTCTTAACACAGACACAAAGCAACAAAAGTTGACATGAGGTTATAATAACTGAATTAGCTCTAATCAACAATGACTGTGAAATCGCTATAGACAATAACTGGTTGCGCGAACCCTCGGGTTATGCATCAGACGCTTGCAGATTTTACAATGTTTTTTCTTATTCATTATATAACGAACCAGTGATGTAGAAAGAATAGGGAACAAACTTATTATTTTTTGATTACATGACACGAAATTAAATATATACTACAATAGTATTAAAGCATCTTACTTATGATAACATAAAGCAATCTAAAAAAACACTTACTCCAGGACGATCAAATACAGGTTTGTAACCTTCATTGGGACGACGTGGGATTACAATGTGACTATGACGAAAATCAAATGTCACAGGTTTTTCATGTGTTGATAAGTCCATATCTATCAAGAATAAAATATTTTTTAAAAATAGATAACTATTATTGAAATAATAAATACTTGTGAAATAAAACCAAATTCGTTAAGGAGTCAGAAGAATACTAATAGTTTAAAAACATAAACTGCTAGCAATTTCTGTCAATAAATAGTGATCTTGAGTGCTGTTACGGTTATGAAAGCAGTTATCACTTCCCGGTTGCCCACACCGTGGAAGGGTTCTTCTAGAGGTACCCAAAAATGAAATCGGGTTAGAGTTGGTCTTAGTGACCTGATAGCGTGACCGCAGTGCCCGAGAGACAAGCGCTAGAGATCGATCACACACGACCATTTTGTGGGTAATTTTTGTGTTAGCTCCATACATGTTGAGAACTTACTTCCGGAGACGGATATATGTAAGATAAAGTGAGATGTGCATTTTTAGGGTCGACCTTTTCTAATCCCATCCTTCCTTTGTGGGAGTGCAGCATCGCTATTATGCTGGTGGTCTAAAGGAAACACCATACTGCTAGCACACCGACCGTTGTTGCTACCTTGACGTGGTGGTCTGGCTTGCCTATCGTGATGAAGCAACCGAGCTATACTGGCTGGAACAACCGTTCCTCAAGGTCCTACCATGTCAGACAGGTCGGTTGAAGGGCGGTAAAACTAAAAGCAACAAACCCAAGGTCCGAAGGCGAAGTCGTACTGCTGACTGTACAGAGGTGTGACAGCAGTAAGGTGTTTCCTTCAGACAACCAGCATGACAGCGATGCTGCCTTCCCACAAGGAGGGGTGGGGTTAGAAAAGGTCGACCCTAAAAATGCACACCTCACCTCAACTCACGGATTTCCGTCTCCGGCGGTAAGGCCCCTTGGAAGAACGGAGCTAACACGTCAAAAACCTCCCACGAAAAGGCCGTGCGCGACCGGCCTCAAGCAGTTGTCCCTTGGGCACTGCGGTCACGTTCTCAGGTCACTGAGACCGCCTCTAATCCAATTTCCTTTTCAGGTACTTCCGGAAGAACCCTTCCTCAGTGTGGGCAACCGGGAAGTGATAACCGCCCTCATACCTCTAACAGCACCCAAGACCACTGTATTCATAATCAACCTCCCTCTTCAATTCCTATTATTCCTCCTACATCGACTTTCAACCCTAAACTTCCTCCTTCGGCTTCCTCCTCAAGTGTCACCATAGCCAACGATTCTAGTGCTCAAAACTCTGTCCCAGGTCTACTGAAACCTCGCTCCAAACTACACATTGGAGCCTCCAACGTACGCACTCTATGTCAAATCGGTCAGCAGGCTTCTTTGGCTAAAACCCTAGAGTCTCTTTCCATTGATGTATGCTGTGTCTCCGAAACACGCATACAGGATTCCAGTGTGGTCATTCACTTGACCTCACCTCGGCAAAACGGAGAGCCAACGAGATACACCCTCCGTGTATCTGGTGACCCGATGGCCAGTTCTCGTGGACTGGCAGGTGTAGGCATAGCACTAAGCATGAGGGCGGAACAAGCACTGCTAGAGTGGATCCCCGTCAACAGTCGCCTATGTGCTGTTCGGCTAAACGGCTCCGTAAAAACTCGGAAGGATAGGGACACACGTCGTTGCCTTTTCGTCGATTCTGCCTACGCTCCCACTGACTGCAGCTCAGATGATGTAAAATATGAATTTTACAGAAAGCTGTCCGAACTTCTTCAGAAAGCTAAACGCTCAGACATAGTACTCGTAGAGGGTGACTTTAATGCTCAGATAGGCAGCTTAAACAAAACAGAAAGGCATTTGGGTGGATATTTTAGCATTCCGGCACAGCGAACAGATAATGGTGACCGTCTGCTGCAACTGTGCTCAGACAATCGTTTATTTTTAGCAAACACAAATTTTAAGCATAAGGAGAGGCATCGTCTAACATGGCGACCCCCTACACCAAACCAACAATGGACTCAAATAGACCATATTGCCATCAGTCACCGTTGGAGAGGGTCGGTACAAGATTGTCGCTCATTCTGGAGTACCTGCTTGGACTCCGACCACGCCCTAATACGGGCACGCATCTGCTTGCGCCTCACTGGACGCAAAAAAGCCACAGTAAAAAGACCCATTAGAACTGAGTTGAGTAACGAGAAAACCAAAAGTAGGTTCCAGGAACAACTGAGGTCACACTTAGTTAGTTCTGAAGACGAGGCTGACCCAGATGTTGCTTGGAAAGATATACAAACAGCTGTGGAAACAGCAGTTACATCTATCAGTGATTTAAACCACAGGGTTACAAAGAAGCAATGGATTTCCTCTAGGTCTATTGCATTGATGGATTCTCGTAAACTCATCCCATCAGGCTCTGAACACGATGAAGAGCGACAACAAATCAGATCTAGGTTAAGCAAAAGTCTAAGGAACGACCGTGAGCAGTGATGGGCAACGAAAGCAAAAGAGATGGAAAAGGCGGCGACTATAGGGAACACAAGACAGCTTTACAGACTAATAAAAGAAACTGGAATTAATAAGTCAAGTGTAAGTGAGATTAAATCGGAAAAAGACGATACACTCATCTGCTCCCAGTCCAGACGTTTAGAACGATGGGCGGAACATTTCAGAGAACAGTTCAACTGGCCTTCAACTACTCTACAACTACCCACCATTCCCAGACAGTGTGAATGGAACATTGAAGTAGGTCCTCCAACTCTTGCTGAAGTTCAAAAGGCTATAGTTAATCTAAAACGAGGAAGGGCAGCTGGTCCAGATGAACTGGCTCCAGAGGTCTTTAAGGATGGTGGGCCAATTTTGGCGATTAGGTTGGCTAATATTTTAGCCAAGATCTGGGAGTTAGATGTTATTCCATCTGACTGTTCACAATCACTTATCGTCCCAATATATAAGAAAGGGTCAAAATCATCCTGTGATAACCACAGAGGGATTAGTCTAACTAATATAATATCTAAAATACTAGCCTCGATAATTATCAGACGCCTAACTAAGACTCGTGAACTGCAAACACGAGGGAACCAAGCTGGCTTTAGACCTGGTCGTGGCTGCGCCGACCACATATTCACCATTCGTCAGGTTCTAGAACATAGGCATACTTATCGGCGTCCGACAATGGTGGTCTTTCTCGACTTAAAAGCAGCATTTGACTCTGTAGACCGCGAGATTCTGTGACAGTGCCTATCGTTAAAAGGCGATTCTTAGATGTACATAAGCCTTGTGAAGATTCTTCACTTGAACACTACTAGTCGAGTCAGAGCTTAAGGCGAACTGTCATCTGCTTTTGCAACCTCGAGTGGTGTCCGTCAAGGCTGTCCACTTTCTCCATTTTTGTTCAACTTCATCATAGACCTATTGATGGAAATAGCATTCTCGTCGACTGAATTCTTCTTCCAGGAGGTCCACTTATCGACTTAGAATACGCAGACGACATAGTCCTGTTTGGTGAAGAGGCTGATAAAATGCAGTCTTCTGGAAGCACTGAGAAACAATCCCAGAGTATTTGGGATGCGCTTCTCTCCCTCTAAATGCAAGTTGTTGCTCCAGGACTGGTCTGTGTCAACACTTGAACTAAAGATAGGGAGTGAAGTAGTCGAACGCGTCGACAAATTCACTTATCTTGGAAGTCCGATCAGCCCTAATGGGTTGGTGTCTGACGAAATCTCAGCACGGATTCGAAAAGCTCGCTTGGCTTTTGCCAACTTACGTCACCTATGACGAAGGCGAGATATCAGTCTATCAATAAAAGGACGAGTATACTGCGCGGCAGTCCGTTCTGTTCTACTTTACGGCAGCGAAACATGGCCATTAAGAGTAGAAGACACTCGTAAGCTATTAGTATTTGACCACAGATGTCTTAGAAATATTGCTGGCGTCTGCTGGGATCACTGGGTAAGTAATAGTGAGGTTAGACGCAGGCTATTAGGGAATGATGGTAAATCAGTCGATGAGGTTGTGGATCTTCATCGACTGAGATGGTTGGGACACGTGTTACGTATGCCTGAATACCGATTACCACGACGTGCAATGCTATCCGGTATTGGAGATGGTTGGAAGAAAGTTAGGGGAGGCCAAACCAAAACGTGGCATCAGTGCTTGAAGTCACTAACTTCTAGTCTGAGCCATGTTGGTAGATGCAGACTACTTGGTTGGGGTCCGCGTGACTATCGTAACCAATGGTTGGAGACTCTTGGTGACATGGCTCAGAATCGATCACAATGGCGTCGGTGTATACACTCCCTGTGTTCCCTTAAACTAAGAGATTAAAATCGCTTCATATCTTTTTTCTACGAACCAATTCTTTCTTCTTGTACTATATCTCTATATGCAATCTTTCTCTTACATATTACTACCTTTGACCTAACCACTGCTATGAATCCGGTGTTCATCTTGTTGTGCTGATGCGGTATGGCAACCTGGACCGATGCACATATGTGCCTGGTCCTACGTTGTAGCTGACTGACTGACTTCGCCCTCGGACCTTGGTTTTGCTGCCTTTAGTCTTACCGCTCTTCAACCGACCTGTCTAGCATGGTAGGACCTTGAGAAACGATTGTTCCAACCAGTATAGCTCGATTGGTTCATCAAGATAGGCAAACCCAACTGCCACACCAAGGTAGCAGTAACGGTCGGGTGGCAATAACTAATACTGTTAATGACTCAATGTGTCATTGTGACTTCAAAGATTAGAAGTTTATGTTAATAATAATAATAATAATAATAATAATAATAATAATAATAATAATAATAAATAATAAATAATAATAATAATAGTAAAGCATAGATTGCATGTTCGTTGCATTAAATTAAATCAAACAAATAACGTGGTAGGAGCAGTAGTAATTCTGGTGAAAAATGACTTAGTCATCTAGTTGCATAATCTGTAAATCCATGGATTGTGTATAAATATATTCTCCCTCTCTGTCTAGAAATTCCAATCGTGCATAGCACGTCATGTTACTAGAAATCGATTAAATTATCAACCGACAGACTCTTAAAACAATGAAACATTTTCATCAATCAGAGATTTGTGCATTGGGAATAACATAACGTAGTGATGTGGAGATCTGTTAATAAAATATTACGGATTATTTGTAGTCTGCAAGACTTTTTCCGCCTATAGACATTAACAAATAGTATTGAAAAAGAAATTGAAAGTAAAATCAGTTTTCCTGCATCACTAAATAGATAGAAGAGCTTGAAATCAACTAGTTTTCTTTTAGCAATGAGATTAACCGAGGTCTTAGGTAGAATTTGGGAACTGGACGTAATCCCATTTGATTGGTCTCAATCACTGATTGTGCCAGTCTATAAGAAAGGACAAAAGTCCTCTTGTGACAATCACAGAGGAATTAGTTTGACTAATATAGTGTCTAAAATATTAGCTTCAATAATACTTCGACGCCTAATCAAAGCTCGTGAAGAGCAGATTAGAGAAAATCAGGCCGGTTTTCGACCTGGACGTGGTTGTATAGATCAGATATTCACACTACGTCAGGTTCTAGAACACAGACACACATTCAGACGCCCCACAATGGTAGTATTTCCCGACCTTAAGGCGGCATTCGACTCTGTTGATCGTGAGGTTCTATGGCAGTGTTTGCCACTGAAAGGAGTACCAAAGAAGTACATTAACCTTATAAAGGCTCTCTACTCGAACACAACTGGTAGAGTGAGAGCTTATGGCGAACTGTCATCAGAATTGATTACCTCAAGTGGTGTTCGTCAGGGCTGTCCACTCTCCCCATTCTTGTTCAACTTTGTGGTCGACGTACTTTTAGAGATAACACTCTCCTCATCTAAATTTCCAGGGGTTGAACTTCTACCGGGAGGTTCACTTGTTGACTTAGAATATGCAGATGACATAGTTTTATTTGGTGAAGACGCTGACAAAATGCAGAGTCTTCTGACCACTCTAAGCAACAATGCAAGCATGTTCGGGATGCGATTCTCCCCCTCGAAATGCAAAATGTTGCTGTTATGGCTTTATGTTGCCGTCGATTTTTACCCTGTGCTAATTGTTGTGTCCTTGACTGGAAAATTAGAGAGCGGTGTACTTATCGATCGGTTACAGTGACACGTAAACACGAACGGACGGCCTAGTCTCGATTGGTCTCGCTTCCCTGTCTAGCCCAGTCAATTGAGTCCAGAACACAAGCCACAGCCTCGGAGATATGAATCATTATATTTCAAACATACTCTATTTATATACTAACCAAGCATACCACATCGTACCATAAAAATAGAAAACAACATTTTGTACAATACTCAACAAGTGAACATATATCGACCAATAGGAAATGTCCATTTAAAGTCCAAAGACACCATTGGACTTAACATGATAATTATTGGTCTACTCCTCCGCATTCACAACAGTTGCTTCAGGATTGGGTTGCATTGACACCCGAACTAATGATAGGGAGTGAAGTAATTGAGCGTGTCGACCGCTTCACTTATCTTGGAAGTCTCATCAGCCCTTGTAGTCTGGTGTGTGACGAAATCTCAGCACGGATACAGAAGGCTCGACTAGCTTTTGCCAACTTGCGTCATTTATGGCGTAGGCGAGATATCCGTCTATCAACCAAAGGACGTGTTTACTGCGCAGCAGTTCGTCCCGTTCTACTTTATGGCAGTGAAACATGGCAGGTAAGAGTAGAGGATATCCGTAGGTTACTAGTATTTGATCATAGATGTCTTCGAAATATTGCTCCTATATCGTGGGACCATCGAGCAAGTAATGCAGTTGTTAGGAAACGGGTACTAGGTAAGGATGGCAAATCAATTGATGATGTAGTGAAACTTCATCAGTTGAGATGGCTGGGACACGTGTTTCGTATATCCAACCACCGACTGCCCCGACGTGCGATGTTTTATGGTATAGAAGTAGGTTGGAAGAGAGTTGGGTGTGGCCAGAACAAAACATGGCACAAGTCCATGAAGTCACTGACAAGTGAACTGTGCCATGTTGGTAGGTATAGACTACCTGGTTGGGGATTGCGAGGTGATAGCAACCGATTGATAGAGACCCTGAATGAAATGGCTCAAAATCGTTTGCAATGGCGCAGGTGCATCCACTCTCTGTGTTCTCCCAAATTCTAATCTTCTGAATTCTTCATGTCCCTTTTTTCCTCTTTCCAAATTTATTTCACTGGATTATACTCTTTAAGTAACATCTCCAAACACTAATCTTCCCGATTACTGCTTATACTCTTATTGCCTCTACCACTACGGGATTTGAATCGACCACTGCATCTCTATGCTAATGTGGTGTGGCAACTCGAACTGATGTACGTACGTACGAAGTTCTACGTTGTTACTGACTGAAATGGAACAAGTCAGTCAGTCAAACACAGAGTAGAACCTGACTCATGTGTACTCCGGTTCAAGTTGTCATACATCATTAGCACGAAGATGCGCTCATGTGTTAACCACAAAGAATGGATGCACCTGAGTTGCTCCAAACAATTTTGAGTCATGTCATTCAAAGTCTCTAACCACTGGTTACGATAATCACGTGGACCCTAATCAGGTAGTCTACACTTATTTACATTACCAAGTACAATCGTCAGTGATTTCATGGACTAGTGCCATGTTTTGGTTTGACCGTACCTAGCTTTCTTCCAGCCTGCGCCTCCACTAGAAAACATCGCCCGTCGAGGTAGGCAGTGGTGGGATATACGTAACACTTCTCAACCACCTCAGTTAATGAGGATGTGCTACTTCTTCAGTCGATCTGTCATCCTTAACTAGCGCCCTTTTCCTAACCCCGGCATCGCTTAATCCGTGGATTCGAAATACATTAGTAATCTTTTGTAGACACCTATTATCGAATACCAGTAACCTACGTATACCATCTACTCTTAATGATCACGTTTCATATCCATAAAGTAGAACGGAGTGAACTGCTGCGCACTAAATCCGTCGTTTGTTTGGACGACTGATGCCTCGCCTAAGTCACAAGTTAGCAAAAGTCAACTGAGACTTCTAAATCCGTGCCGAGATTTCGTCAAACATCAGACCATCAAGACTGAGACTTCCAATATAAGTGAAGCGGTCAATGCGTTCAAATACTTCACTCTCTAATAATACTACCTGACCGATCAAACCTTGGTAACACATGAGTTACAGATTATATGTCTGGACAAGTGTTTTACAGATTCATCATCGAATTTTAAGTAGGGAAATCTTCACAATAAAAGATTATACTCTTTATTTTGAAGTAAAGTTAATGTATTAGATGAAGAAAATTATTAACAGGATT